TGTTTCATCCTTTTTGTCCCCAGTCTGTCATGTCTCCATGTCTGTTTATCCCCAGTCCAAGTTTCATGTCTCAGTCTCAGGTGTTCCTTCCTGTTTTATTTTGTTAGTCCCACGTCTCCTGCCCGTACAGTTTTGCATCCTCTGTCTTGTTTGTCAGATTTAGTTCACTTGTGTTCTTGTGAGTTCCATCTCCCTGATCACCTCTTGTGTATAGTTTCCTTCACTCCCTTGTTGTGATCTCCCCTCATGTTGTGTGTTCTCCCTTCTGTCTGTCAGTGTTAGTTTTCAGTCTGTTTGCTCCTGTTTTACTCATCTGTATGTGTTGTTAAGTTTGCCATTTGTTAGCTAATAACGCTGTGTTTTGAGTTCAAGTCTTTCTGCTGAGTCCTGCGTTTGGAATCCACACTCTTCCTAAGACACAAATGTGTCCTGACAACATCTTTTAAACAAAGAATGAGACGAGTGATTCCAGATAGTTTAGAAACTTTGAAATGACTTTTATTTTATTTAAAAAGCAAACCTTCTAATAGGTGACTTGGGCAGACTGCACATCCATTTACATCATTCATTTACACTGTGGCTAAAACAGCGGTTCCCAAACTTTTTTTGCTAGGCCCCTCTTTGTTTTACAATCAACGCTGCTGTCAATACATTCTTCAAAACATGCCTCTCTGTGCAAAATGGGTTTAAAAACATAAACAACTGTGGGACACTGTTTGTCCGTGATTTGAACTGGGGGAACAAATTGTGGCAGGGTCAGTGTTGTGCCAAGGTAGGTATCACCGACAAAATGTATTCCCCCTGTGTCGCGAGCATTCGCTCGGCACGGAGTGCGGATCCAATTTACTCCGCCTCCATTACAGACTATTAGAAGTAGTGATGTTTTAGTTTTATGAAAAAGTAAAAAATGAGTGTCGTTACATTACCATTCAGTTTGAGGGTTACAGCAGAAAATGATATATTTATTGTTCTCATGTGGGATTAACAAACGAAGGACATTTTGCCTGATAATTATTTATATCCTCCTGTAACTTTACTGTATAAAGAGCTAAAACCTCCAAAGTTTCAGGAGTAGTTAGTCGTTATAGTGTTTGTGAACTAAAAATCAAGAATGTGGGATACTGTTTGTCTGTGATTTGGAGAGCCCAGTGTGTGCTCCCGACACAGGGGAAACTAATTCTGTCGGGGAGACCTACCCTTGGTTTGACAGCTGTTGTGCAGGTGAAGCCAAAGGTAAGATGTGCTTCATCATATGTTTGTGTTTGGCTTGGAAGGAAGTTGGTTTGGAAGCATATTTGGTGATGCTTCATCTTCTGCTTTGCATTTGTGTGGGAGCCCCGTCAAAAAACCTGCCTATTATACTAACAGTGTCCACTCTTCTTTTTTTTTTAAATTCATACCGCACCCCCCATGCAATGTGGCACGTTCACCACTTTGGGAACCACTGAGCTAAAAGATCAAACCGATATATAATAGACACACCGGTCCACTGTGTCCATTTCACGCTTTGCCTCTACAAAACATGAAACGGACGCGTCCATACAGAAGTTGCATTACCAGCAGGGCGAGGACAAACGTATGAAGTACATTAGTCCTTAATCACCAGAAACAGTTGAACTAGGCAGGTAATATAATATGTGTGTGTGTAAATGTGTTAATTACTTCTGTTTAAAGGCTTTTCCGTAATTGTTTTAATGTCAGTGCGCCCCAGGGTGGCTGTGGCTACAATGTAGCTGCCATCACCAGTGTGTGAATGTGTGTGTGAATG